AGGAGCAGGACCTGGCGCGGGGAGGGGGTCTACCTGGGGAGGACCTGGGGCGAGAAAGAGCGGCGGGGGGGGGCGAGGAGCAGTGCGGTACGGGAAGAGGCGGTAAAAGGGGACCGACTCGTCAAAGGTGACGTCCTGAGACGCAAAGACACGGCGCGAGGCGGGGTCGTAAAACTGCCAGCCACGCGCGTCAGGGGCAAAGCCAAGGAAGACGCAAGGAATGGGGCGAGGGGAGAGCTTGTCCGCGGTGGTATCGCGGACAAAGGCACGAGCACCCCAGACCCGGAAACGCGACGCGTCGCCAACCTTCCCCGTCCACAGTAGTGTGGGCGAGGTCTCCGGCAAGGAGACACGGGGCCAAAGGTTGAGCTGATGCGCGGCGTACCGGACCGCAAACGGCCACAGAAAATGGGGGGCAGCCGCATGGATCATGGAGGTACGAGCGACCTCCATGACTAAGCCAATGCGGCGCTCAGCAACCCCATTCTGCTGCGGAGAGGCCGGAAGCGTGAAAGTCTGGCGGATGCCGTGCTCCGCACAGAAGGCTGCCAAGAGGTCTGAGGAGAACTCACCACCTCTGTCAGAGTGCAGACGCAGGACAGGAAAGTCCGACTGGAACCGCTCGCGGAGCTGGAGACGAGTAGCGCGGATCCAGGGGATCAAAACATCAGGGACATCCGCCTTGCGCTGCAAGGGGAAGACCGTGGTGTAGCGCGTGTAGTCGTCGACAACCAGCAGGAAGTACCGCTCGTGGCCCTGTCCACGGACGCGGGCTGGGCCCCACACGTCCAGGTGGAGAGTCTGCAGTGGAGCCTCTGTGGGAGGGAACGAGGAGGAGTGAGGAGCGGCGCGCTGCCGCCCCTCGATGCAGGGAATGCAGGGCGGCGCAGGCGAGGGAGGGAGGGGAGGCAGAGACCTGGGAAGACCAGAAACCAAGAAGCGGGAGTGCATGCTGCGTAGGCGAGGCAGGGAGGGGTGACCAAGGCGGTGGTGCCACAGGAGAGTGTCGTGCGACAGCCGGCGACACTCACACTGTGTAGCTACCTGAGCAGACGCGTGCAACTGGGGAGACACAGAGGTGGAGCGTGACGCAGTGGTGAGGGTGTAGAGACTGGACCCTGGCGCACGAGCGAACGTGGCCAGGTGGCGACCAGTCTGGGAGCACGTGCAAATCGCCACACGCTGCCGGCCAGGGGTGAAGGTGTCAACCCCCGCATCCTGGAGGACAGCGTTACTCACCAAGTTCGTAGAGAACGAGGGGAGGTGGAGACCAGACAACTCACCAGACGGGATCGCCGGACACGGAAGCACAGTGGAAGACCGTGCAAGCACTGGGCCCCCAGAGGGGTCAGCCAGTGAGACAGGAACAGGTGCAGGGAGGGGAGTGACTGTGGTACTGTCGCGAAAGAAACAGCGGGAAGCACCAGAGTCAAGTGTAAAGGTGTGCAAAGCCTGTGCAGGCGCAGTACCAAGGGGAGCAGACTCACAAGCACCTACTGCTGCAGGGGCTATACCAGGGGCTATACCAGGATCCGGCGGCACACACAAGTAGCGGTCACCCTCAGCACTAACAGACAAGGCATACATAGCAGCAAGAATTGCCTCATAGTAAAGATCAAAGATAGGTACATCACGCCTAAGCAAGTCTGCCCAGTTGGGGAACTCAGGAGCATCAGGAAACTTGGCGCGCCAGGCGTCGCTAAGCCGAGCGAAGCAGCGCTGCTCAGTGTGGAAACCTGTGCACTGGCGACCAGCGCGGGGACCTGTGCGGATGATATAGGGGCAGCGTCCAGGACCCCCAGAAGCCCCACGCCCGGCATACCAGTCAAGAAGTTGCTGGGAAGTGGGGGTCTGGCGCTGACGCTGATGCTGCTACTGCTGCTGCTGCTGCCGCGGCTGCTGCTGGCCCTGACCACCAATGCCACCACCGCTCCCTCCTCCCCCACCGTCGCTGCTGCCCCCTCCACCGCTCCCAGTGCCTCCGCCGCCCCCACCACCACCTCCACCGCCTCCACCCCCACGACCACCCCCACTACCTCCACCTCCCCCTCCACCTGCACCACCGCCACCTCCACCGCCACCCCCACCGCCCCTGCCACCCCTGCCGCCCCTGCCGCTGCAACGCTTCCCACTAGGAGCGGAAGCAGCTCCGACCCCCTCAGCACCAAGGTAGTCGTGAGCAGCAGCTGCGGAGGCGTAGGAGGGGGTGAGAGGGGAGGGGGAGCACCCCTCAAAGAGGGGAGAGCGAGGAGTGCCACGAGCAGCACCTACAGCGAGGATGTTCTTCTCTGCTGCGAGGAGGTGCTTCTCGAAGTCGTCGACAGTGAGATTGGTGGGGTCTAGCGCTAGGAAGTGGTCCCTGACAGAGCTAAGAGTGTCAGGGAGGCGGGTGACGAGGAAATAGAGAGTGAAGTACATCGGGGGGGGGGGGGGTTGCGGTGCAGAACTCGGCTGAAAGGGCGGCACGAAAGCGAGAGTCAGTAGCGCGTAGGTGAGAAACTAGGTCCTCAGCAGTGGTGAACGAGGAAAGATCGGGGAACAGGTACGGTAGCATGAGTCGACCTATGGCTGCAGTGGCCGGGGAGGAGTAGCGCGCAACTACAGCGTCGTACAGTGTCTTAGCAGTTCTGTGCTGGCTGAAATGCGCTCGCTCAGTAATCGGCAGGTGGTTCCTAATAGCTAGGCGTGCAGCAGCATCACGAGTCTGCCACTGGGAGCGTTCTAGAGCAGGAGCATCAGCAGCAGGAGTAACGGCAGTGCCAGAGACGTAATCGAACAGTGAGACACCCTCTTTGGCATCAGTCAGAAGGAACAGCTGGAGATCGTCTAACCACACAGTGAACTCGATGGGACGACCGTCAGGCTCGAACGCTAGAACGTTAGGCGTCGCCATATTGGCTTAAGGCAGGAGGCAGCAGGCAGCAGGCAGCAGGCAGAGGCAGCAGGCACCAGGTAGGAGGCAGCAGGCAGCAGGCAGGTAGTAGGCAGGCGGCAGGCAGGCGGCAGCAGGCAGCAAGCAGGCAGGCGGCAGAAGGCAGCAAGCAGGCAGGCAGGCAGGCGGCAGGTAGGCGGCAGTAGGCAGCAAGAAGGCAGGCGGCAGCAGGCAGCAAGTAGCAGGCAGGCAGGTGGCAGGCAGTAGGCAGGCTGCAGGCAGGCGGCAGCAGGCAGCAAGCAGGCAGGCAGGCAGCAGGCAAGCAGTAGGCAGGCTGCAGGCAGGCGGCAGCAGGCAGCAGGCAGGCAGGCAGGCAGGCGACAGGCAGGTGGCAGCAGGCAGCTAGCAGGCAGCAAGCAGGCAGGCAGGCAGGCGACAGGCAGGCGGCAGCAGGCAGCTAGCAGGCAGGCGGCCGCAGGCAGCAAGCAGCAGGCAGGCAGTAGGCAGGCAGCAGGCAGGCTGCAGGCAGGCGGCAGCAGGTAGCAAGCAGGCAGGCAGGCAGGCAGCAGGTAGGCGGCAGGCAGGAGCGGCCTGAGGGCTGCGTGAGGCGGCTTGCTGCACGAGGCTGCAGGTCGCACGTGGCTACGGGCAGCGCGCGCAGCTGCGGGCTGCTCGTGGCGACGCGCGGGCTGGCGGCAGGCTGCGTGGGCGGCTGGCGCGGCGCGTGGGGCCTAAAACGGGCTACACGGGCGGCGGACGCGGCGCGCAGGGCCTAAGCGGGTTGCGCACGGGCGGCTTACACGGTGCGCGGGCCGGCGGCAGGCTGCGCGGGTGGCTGACGGGGCGCGCGGGGCCGAAAACGGGCTGCTCGCGGGCTGCTTAGGTGGCGCGCACGGGAAAAAAAAAAAAGGGCCACGCGCGTGCAGCCGAGGCGCGCGCGGGCAGCAGGCAAGGCAGGCAAGGCCGTAGGTGAGGTAATGCAGTAATCGGTGGGCCCTAATCTTAGGTCCTAAAGACCTATGCTCTAGATACCATCTTAGAAGCTATGCATGAGAGGTCGACTATCGAGGGGGTTGGTACAAAGAGAATGAACCTAAGGGGTTGTACCCCACAGTGTGTACCCCACTAAGCCTACCCAAAATATAACATAGATATACATATGTTTGACATGAAGGGCAGCATTAGTGAGGGGAAATAAAGTGAGGGGGAATAGAGTGAGGGGAAACAGAAATGAGGGGAAAAAAAGTGAGGGGAAATATAAGTGAGGGGAAATGTAGTGAGGGGGAAGAGAGTGAGGGGGAATGGAAGTGAGGGGAAACAAAGTGAGAGGGACATACATGAGGGGGAATAGAAGTGAGGGGAAATTGAGTGAGGGGGAATACAAGTGAGGGGAAATGAAGTGAGGGGGAAGAGAGTGAAGGGGGATGGAAGTGAGGGGAAGTGTAGTGAGCACCGCCGAATCAAATCGTGCCCGCACGTGCGAAACGCGATTGCGGTGCACAGTGAATGAACTGAACACGAAGAATTTAGCCTCACAGGGAGGCAAGTCGGCGTTGGCGCGTAGAAATTAGCTAGGAAAAACCAGAGATTACGAATTAACTAGAGGAAACACAGGATTAATTCACGGGAAAAACAAGATCGTGGCGCGTTGTTGAAATGTTGGGAATCGATCGGGAGTGAGTCATGTTTGACAAAAGAGGCCACTACTGTAGAGTTGGTCTTTTGTAACTCTTCTGCGTTCTCCAAAAAGGAACCAACAGCTAATTGTTTGCTTTCACGAGCACGAAAGTAGTAACACAGACCTCGCCTGCAGAATTCGCGGATCTGCTCTTGCCCCCACAGGATGATATGACTTGCCCCCACCTCGAGCGTCAGAAGCACGCTTGCTTTTGTGGCAATGCCAACCATAAAGAGCACGCCAAGGAGAGAACTGAAGTGAAGATGCCCGCACTCTGAGTTTTGATTTCTGAACTCAGTGAGAACGGTCAGGTTTCTTGGACCAGCGGTCACATAACGATGCAGCGATGTTGACTGCAACTGACTAGCGGTTTGCTCGCGATCTTACGAGTAGTAAACGCGAGGTCGCGCAGGTTGAGCGTGAGAAACTGAGCCCGTGTGCGTAGCAGCCATGGGAGTGCAGGGCCTGTGGGAGCTGCTGGCGCCGGTGGGCCGACGCGTGTCCGTTGAGGCTCTTGCGAATAAGACTGTAGCCGTCGGTACGTTCCGCTCGAGCGGATTCGTGTGGTAGGACTGCGCAGTACGGCTGTGGTGAAAATTTCCATCGTCTCGTCGTGCATGACTCACGTTGAATCTGCTCTAGCGCTTATCAGTTTGTGAATAGAAAGGCGGATATTCTGATCTTTGGCTTGCATCATCTTACAAAATCCTATTAAAAGGGAAATGCTCTCGCCGTGACTTCTTTTGGCATTAGACGTGAGCATACATTGATTTGCGGTACTCCTTATTTCCTTTGTTGAACGCAAGCTTACTGTTATGAATTCCACCCAATTAAGATCCGTTGCGAGTTTTGTTTCTTCCAACCGTGCCCTTCCTCCGTTCCGCGTTTCTCGCTGCCAACGGCTCAGTCGCCTGTCATAACCGCGCGTATTCCCCCATTCCCCCCTCCTGGTGCGGATCAGACGCGAGCATATGGCTGGTGCAGTTCCTCAAGGCGATGCGCGACGAGCGCGGAGAGCTGCTGCCGGGCGCGCACCTGCTGGGCTTCCTGCGGCGCGTGTGCAAGCTGCTCTTCCTGCGCATCCGCCCGCTCATCGTCTTCGACGGCGCCACGCCTGCGCTCAAGCGCCGCACCGTCCTTGCGCGCCGCCGCCAGCGGGAGAACGCGCAGATCAACCTGCGCAGGACGGCCGAGAAGCTGCTGCTCAACCAGGTGCGCGCAGGCAGTGGGGGATGGGGGGATGGGGGGAGGGGGGAAGGGGGTCGCAGATGACGGGAGACAGAGAGGCTTTAGTCAATGGGGCAACGGAGGTGGTGGAGGGGTTTGCAGTTGCTGTAAGAAGGAATCAAATTTCGACGATCGTGGATAAACTGTTGCTTTTTGCATTTTCCGTTAGCTTGTAGTTGCTTCTTCCTCTCCGCTCCATCCACCCTCCTCGCCTGCCTTGCGTTGTGTTGTGCTTATGGCAGCTACGGCTGCGAAAGCTGGAAGAGGCAGCAAAGGAGATGCAGCAAAGGGGCAGGGGGAGGGCGGCGGGCAGGGGGGGCGGAGGAGCGCGGGGAGGCGGCAAGGGGAAGGAGAAGGTGGAAGAAGTGGTGGGCGATGGGAGGCAGGAGATCGGGGGGCGAGGGGGAGGCAGTCAAGGAGCCATGGCAGCAGAGAGGCAGTGCGGCGGTGAGGAGGAGTTGAGGAGGGGTCAGGAACACGCAGATGCTCTGTACGTCTCCCCCCGAAACTCAAGCTCATACTTGTACTTGTTCTTTTTTCTCGTCTTCGTCCGGCTTCCCTTCTTGCCTCATTGCATCTCTCCTCACTGTGCCGTTCTGTTTTTCTCTTTCGTTATGCTCACCCTGTTGCTGTCAGCCTGGCAGCATCGCTGGCAGCTGAGTGGGCAGAGCAATCCGCGGGCGCCTCTGGTGCTGCCCCAGATGTGGCAGGCACCTCCCGTGATGCCGGTGCTGCCGCTGCCGCTGCTGCTGCTACTGCTGGTGGTGCTGGCGGTGGTGAGGCGGCCAGGGGGCCAGTGGGAATGGAGGGGGGTGATGGTGGGAGCGACGAGAGCAGTGATGAGGACGACTTGACTGAAGAGGCTATGGCGCTCCTGGTATGTACGTGCCTCCTAGCACATGGCTCCGGGCATGCATTTCATGCTCATATGCCTCTTTCCGTTCCTTTCCTTCCATGCATGACTTTCTGCCTGTCCGCACATGCCTCTGTCATTGGATCAGAGTAAAAAAATTGAACTTACCATTTATATGAAATGAGCTTCCATCTCCCCCTCCCCATGCCCCATGTATGCTGGTGCACCAGCCGGAGGTGGCATCTGGGGGAGGCGCACCTCTTGACCCGGCAGTGCTGGCGTCGCTGCCACCCTCCCTGCAGCTACAACTTATGGTGCAGGTGTGTGCTGCAGCTGATAATGCGAGTGTGTGCTACAGCTGATGTTGGCCACATGTGCGCTACAAGTAATGATGTGGCCTTTCCCTGTGTTCTCCTACTGTCATTAGACGTTTCTACTTCTCGCACTCCCCTGCTGCTGCAACATGCTGCGCTGCTCTCTCCCCTCCTCCCTCCCCCCTTTTTTGTACTGCGCGTGTGCAGATGCGGGAACAGCTGGTGGCTGAGAATCGCCATAAGTTTGAGCAGGCGGCCAAGGTGAGAGCAGGCGGCCAAGGCGAGAGGGAGGGGTGATCATGATGGGAGTGGGTAGCAAGAGACGGTGGCTTGGGAATGCTGATCATGATGGGAGTGGGGACGGTATGAAGAAGTGACGGTCCGCATCGCTGCGAAGCTGGTTGCGTGGGTACATGTGAATGAGGTACGGTGCGGGATAATATGCTCCACCTCACTTGTGTTATCCCTTCCCCCCATTCCCCCTCCCTTCCCCTCTACCCTCCCCCCCAACCGCCGTCTCCTCCACCAGGCGCCAGCAGCGTTCTCATCGCTGCAGGTGGGCGCCTATCTGCGCACGGCTGCCATGCGCCGCCAGATTGACTCCGTGCGCTCTGCCGCCGCCTCTGCCTTCGCTGCCTCTGCCCCCGCTGCTGCCGCTGCTGCTTCAACCCTTCCGAATTCCGCCCCTGGTTCGTCTTCTGCTGCTGCCGCGGCAGCAGTGGGAGCATCAGGAGGGGAAGTGACTGGCGTGGGCTTGGCTGGGCGAGCAGGAGGAGCAGCAGAGGCGGAGGAAGGAGTGGGGGTGGGAAGGGGGAGTGGAGGGGGCGTTGGGGGAGGGCGGATAGCATCGGAGGCGGGCAGGGAGTTTGTCTTTACTTCCTCTGTGGCGCAGGGCGCGGGGTGAGTGGGGCAGGGCGCGGGTGTACGGCCTTGGGACGTGAAAGGGAGGGCGTTCTGGGTTCATTTATAGGAGGCACCACTGTGGCCTCCAGTGGGTGAGTGCTGTTCATTCTACCATCTCTTCAATGATTCAATCAACCGCCATCTTCCCCTACCCCCCTCCGCCCGCTCGTTCTGATCCGGTCCCCCTTTGCCTGCAGTGATGCTCCCCTAGGACGGCGCCTGCCCCCACTGTCACCAGCACCCGCTCAGGGTAGGGGCGGAAGGGGGTTGCGCGGGAGGGGCAGGGGGAAGGGCGCCTGGGGGCATCGGTGGACGGGAAAACAAGCTTGGAGGGAGAGGAGGGGAGGAGGGGGAAATGGCAAGGTGAAGCAAATGAATGGGGAAAAGGACGAGGGGGTGGACGACGAGTGTGAGAGGGACGGTTTGCGGGATTTCTCCTGGGGGGGAGGGAGGGGGCAGGGGGGCGCGGAGGGGCTGCTGCAGCTGCCTGGCATTCTGCAGCAGGCGGTGAGCTGGGGGAGGGGGAGGCGGAGGGAGGATCCGGGGGGACAGGCGGGGGAGGGTGCTGGAGAGGCAAAGGGCGGTGTGGCTGGTGGGGTGAGGGATGGGGCGGGTGGAGTGAGTGGAGACATTGACACGGGGTTGGGAGGGGCGGAAGAGGAGGGGGAGGCAGTGAAGGAGGCGTATTTGGCCTTGGTGGCAGAGGAAGGCACGGCGCAACCAACACAGAGAGATGCCAGTGCTGCCAGCACAGATGCTGCTGCTGCTGCTGCTGCTCGTGATGCCTCTCCTCTTGGCGGCAGTGGGTCTGATGCTGCTGCTGGCAGCGCTGCAGCAGGCAATGCTGCTGATGGCGATGAAATAGAGGCAGCAGAGGCAGCAGAGGGGGAGGCGGCAGGAGGCGCAACGGGAGGTGGGAGTGTGCAGACATACCGGGACGAGCAGGGCAGGGTGCACGTGAGCCGCGTGCGAGGCATGGGTGTGCGCATGACCCGCGACCTGCAGTGGAACCTGGTGCTCATGCGCGAGCGGGAGAAGGAGAGGGCGATGGGCACGGGGAATGGGGGCGAGGAGGGGAGGGATAGAGGAGGGCTGATGATGAAGGGGAGTGAGGGCGTGGGGGGGAAGGGTGAAGAGCGGGAAGGAGGGGACGAAGAGGAGGTGCAGTGGGAGGATGGGATGGTGGCTGCTGCTGCTGTTGCCAGGGAAAGTGGGGCAGCAGGTAGTGTGTGTGGAAGGGGTTTTAAAGGAGCAGATAGAAGGCACGAGAAGGAGAAGGGAAGGGGGTTGGGGGAAGGTGAGGGAGTGGAAGAGGAAGAGCAGGAAGAGGGAGAAGGAGGTGAGTATGAGGATGAGTTGTTTGCCATGCTCGTTGCTGCGGGGAAGGTCAGAGCAGCAGCAGCAACGCAGAAGCACACACCAAGCACCGCCGCACCAAGCACCGCCACACCAAGCACGGTCGGTGGGGTTGCTGCTCCTGCCACTGCAGCAGTCCCCACGCTGCCAGCCGCTGCCATCTCGGCACCTGGGAACGTCATGGGAACGGATGCTGAGGAATGGGGGGAGGAGGAGGAGGAGGAGGAGGATGTGGAGTGGGAGGATGGCGAAGGGGAAGAGGAGGCGCCGCAGTCAGTTAAAGGAGAAGTCAAGGGAGGAGAGGGAGGGGTTGCTGCAGAGAGGGATGTGCAGGAAAGGGGTTTGCCAAGTGATACTGACGTGGACATGGAAGCTGACGTGGAATGGGAGGAAGCACCAGTCACAGTGCAGCACATAAAGCCAAGCAAGGCGCCCCCATCCCCCCAACCTGGCCCGCCCTCTGCCCCTACCCCCACCCCATCCTCCCAACCTGGCCCACCCGCTGCCAATGCCCCTACCGCTGCCCCCACCCCTGCCTCGGCCTCTGCATCTGCAGTGCCATCTGCCCCGACCCGTGCAGACGAGAAAGGCACAGGCTCTGTTGCTGGCGAGCAGAGGCGTGGGCGTGCATGGGAGGAGGAGCAGGTGGCAGAGGCTTTGAGGAGAAGCCTGCAGGACATGGGGGGGAGGAGGGTAGAGGCACAGAGTGGGGGTGCAGTGGATTTTGTGAAGGATGTGGGGGGTAGTGGAGGGGAGGGAGAAGGGGAGGGAGAGGGGACAGTGGAGGGAGGGGAGGGGGGAGCGGATGAGGTGGAGGAGGAGAGAGCAGCATTGGAGGAGGAAGCGATGAGGCTGCGAGAGGAGATGGAGGAGGGCCAGCGACAAGTGCAGGTGAGCCATGTGTCTTGCACCCACGCACGCATCTATAGTTGATTGTCCATCCATTCCACCTCCCACTTCTCCACGCTCTGTGCCTGTCTGCGGCAGTGCCCGTCGTGCTGCTGGTGGGTGTGCTGTCCTCTGACTCCACATTCCACGTTTGAGCGTGCAGGAGGAGGAGGCAGAGCAGGCTGTGGGCGAGCATGAGGAGCAAGAGGAGCAGGATGGGCAAGAGGAGCAGGGGGAGCAGCGGGAGGAGGGGGAGCAAATGGATGAGGGGGAGTGGGAGGAGGAGGAGGCGGCGCTGAGGAGGAGGTGGGAGGAGGAGAGTGGGCGGGTGGAGAGGGAAGGGCGGCGGCTGAGGCAGCAGAAGAGGGCGCATGAGCGGGATGCTGCTTCTGTCACCTCCGAGATGCTGGCTGAGGTGCAGGTGGGGGCACCATCACTGCATCACCTCTCCTCCCACCCGTCTGCCATTCATTCTATCCCCAACCAACATTCTTGCCCCACATCAGCTCTACCCTCACTCCTTGCTCCCTCCCTCCTCGCCCCCTCCCTCGCGTCTCCCTTCCCTCTGTCTCTCCCCTCTCCCCCCCAACGCTTTCCCGCAGGAGCTGCTGCAGCAGTGCGGGGTGCCATACATGGTAGCACCAACAGTGCATGGCTGGCGCAGCACGGTGTGGTGGACGCGGTCGTCTCAGACGCCTGTGACGCGCTGCTCTTCGGTGCGCCCACCCTTTGGCCTGGCACCACCCCTCCCTCACGTCTCCCTTCCCTCTGTCTCTCTCCCCGCCCCTCGTTCCCCCGCCCCCCTCCCCCCCACCCCAGGAGCTGCTGCAGCAGTGCGGGGTGCCGTACATAATAGCACCTCAGGAGGCAGAGGCGCAGTGTGCATGGCTGGCGCAGCACGGCATGGTGGACGCGGTCGTCTCGGACAACTGTGACGCGCTGTTCTTCGGTGCTCCCACTCTCTAGCTTAGCGCCACCCCTCCCTCACGTCTCGCTTCCCTGTCTCTCCCCCCCGCCCCGTCCCTCACGCCTCCCTTCCCTCTGTCTCTCCCCAACTCGTTCCCCCAGGAGCTGCTGCAGCAGTGCGGGGTGCCGTACATAATAGCCCCAATGGAGGCGGAGGCGCAGTGTGCATGGCTGGCGCAGCACGGCGTGGTGGACGCGGTCGTCTCAGACGACTGTGATGCGCTGCTCTTCGGCGCGCCCACCCTCTGGCGCCACCTCTTCTCTGATCGCCACTACGTGGAGGTGTACCGCGCTGAGGACGTGCAGAGGGAGCTGGGGCTCAGCAAGAGGCACCTCGTGCGTATGGCCATGCTATTGGGTTGTGACTACACGCCCGGCATCAGGTGCGCACACGGTGGTGCTTTCAAGGTATGGCACAGGGGCTGTGGGTGTTGCCACGCACCTCATCCTCGCCTTCACCCATGTCTCCGCCCCTGTGCGGCCCTGTGCCCATTGTGCGCATGGCGTCTCCTCCACCCTCCTCTGGCAGTGGCATTGGAGTGGTGAATGCCATCGAGGTGATTCACGCATTTCCGGGTGCACGTGGCTTACAGCGCTTCCGCCACTGGCTTGACTCGCCCCATGCTGCCGCCCTCGCCCGTCTGCTGCCTGGGGGACCAGAGGGTGGTGCACAGGGCGGTGCTGTGGACGGGGCTGATGGGTGGGAGGATGACGATGGGTGGTGGGAGGATGAGGAGTCGGATGAGGAGGAGGAGGGTGAGGAGGGTGAGGAGGGTGAGGGAGGTAGGGGGAAGGGTAACGGGAGGAAAGGCGAGGGAATGGAAAGGGAAGGGAGTGGCAAGGGGAAGGGAGAGAGGAGTGGCAGGAAGGGAGAGAGGAGTGGCAAGAAGGGAGAGAGGAGTGGCAGGAAGGGAGAGGAGCAGGGCAAGGGAGGTTCACAGGAGGATCGGGAGGCCAGGAGGGCGCTGGCTGAGGCACGGAGGCGAGAGTTTGAAGCCACACATGTGAGTGCGTGTTCCTGACGTTCTTCGTCACTTGTATCTTACCTGTCCTCGTCTTCCATGTTTGCTTGCGCCTTGCCTTGCAGAGGAACGTGGATTGCACCCTCTTATTTGATTGTATTCCCTGCCACACCACTGCCATCCCCTTCAATACAACCCATCCCATCCCATTCCACCTCACCCCACCCAACCCCACCCCACCATCCCCCACCCTTGGCAGGCGGGGGTGAGGAGGCAGTGGGTGGTGCCGGGCAACTTCCCCAGCCCAGCGGTGGCAGCGGCGTTCAACCGCCCCCATGTGGATCGCAGCACTGCCCCTCCCTCCTGGCACCCGCCTGACCTCCCTGCTCTGCGCCAGTGCGCCCCCCCCCCCCTCTCCCCTCCCTCTCCCCTCCCTCTCCCCTCCCTCTCCCCTCCCTCTCCCCTCCCTCTCCCCTCCCTCTCCCCTCCCTCTCCCCTCCCTCTCCGCCTCTTCTCCTCTCTGCCTCCCACCCTCCTCATTCCTTGGCTCTCCACCCACCTTCCCTTGCCCACCCTCACTCCTGTTTTGTCGTCTCTCTCCATCTTGGATTGCCCTTCCATTGTCTCTCGTATCCCTCCTCCATTCATGACGTCTTCTCCTGCTCTTCCTGTCAAACCTTGTCCGTGCTCCCGTCCGCCTGTCCCTGCATGCCACGTGGCAGGCTGTGTGTGGCCAAGCTGGGCATGGCGCCAGAGAAGGCGGATGCGCTGCTGCTGCCAGTTGTCAAGGCTGCCTCCTCCCGCCAGGTAGGCTCCCCCATGCCATGCCATGCTGTGCTATGCTGTGCTGCATGCCATGTTCCACGCCATGCCACATGCCATGCTTCATGCCATGCCGCTGTACCAGGTGTGCTTGCAAGCCGTGCCACCATCACTGTTCGCACATTCGGGATTTCTTGCCCATATGCTGCTTTACAAACCCCCGTTCGGATTCTCTTGTACCATCTCCCATCTCCCATCTCCCATTCCCCCCATCCCTTCTTCCCCCCACCACACCTTCCAGGCCCAGCAGCGGCTGGAGGCGTTCTACTCATTCAAGCAGCGCTTTGCCAAGATCCGATCGCGCCGCGTGCAGCGGGCCGTCACCGGCATCGCTGGCAGCGCTGCACGGCACCTCATGCTGCCGCCCTCGGGGGTGACTGCACCCGAGGAGGACGATGCAGACGAGGATATCCTTGATGCTCATGCCCCTGCTGCTCATGCCCCTGCTGCTCATGCTGCCGATGCTGCTGGTGCAGCTGGTGCTGCCGGCAATGGGAATGTTTCTGGTGGCAGGGAGCAGGATGGTGTGGCAGCAGTTGGTGGTGGTGGTGGTGGTGGTGGGGCGACTGGTGTGAGGCGTGGGAAAGCCAAGGGTGCTGCTGCTGCTGCGGGCGGGGAGAAGAAGGGGCGAGGAGGGAAAGGGCGAGGGAGAGGGCGGGGTGTTGCGAGTGAGAGAGGCAGGGGGAGGGGGAGGGGAAAGGGGCGAAATGGAGGGCGTGGGGTAAGAAGGAAAAAGGGAGATGCAGCGGAGGATGCTGAGGGCGAGTGGGCATCCTCAGGCGAGTCTGGGGAAGAGAAGAGGCATGGCAGGGGCATGGAGGGGGGGGCAGCAGAACAGAGCACAGGTGATGGCAGCACGCGAGGGGCTGAGGGTGGTATGGAGGGGGGTGCGGCTGAGCGTGGGGGAACGGGCGCGGCGGTGAGGATGCAGCCAATACGTGAGGCGAAGCGGCCGCGCCTGCAGCTTGGAAGCTCCGATGCTGTGCTGGGTGGTGATGTGGTTGCCTTGAGTGACTCGCATGAATGCAGCAGTGGGAGCCGTGCTAGTGGTGGTGGCGATAGCGATGGTGATGACGCCATGTTTGATCCCAGGGAGCACCTGCCCTCACCTCTCACTGCACGCCCTGCACGCCCAGAGCGCACTTCTCCCACAGGCACAGGTGCAGCCACTGCCACGCTCACTGGCGTGCTCACAGACACAGGGAAGTGTGAGGCAGCAGGGCAGGCAGGTGGGAGAGGTGAGAGTGAGGGGAGCACGTGGATGGTGCAGCAACACTCCCATGGGGCAGAGCAGCAACAGGTCGTCGCACAGCAACAGCAAGGACTCCTGCATGCCTGCCGTGCCTCCCATTCCTCCCCTCCTCATGCCTCTGCTGAAGCCCATACGGGTGCAGCAAGTGCAGGGCAGGGGGGTGTATCACGTGACTCCATGCACGCGCGTCTGCATGGAGGGGGGTTCTGTGTGGGGGAGGAGCAGCACGGGGATGAGCAGGTGGCGGAGGCAGGGGGCCAGGAAAGGGGAGAGGAAGAGCAACAGCTGTGGATGGAGCAGACGGGAGGAGTGGAACGGGAAGAGATGGGGGGCGATTTGGCAAGGGATGAGGTCTCTGGTGCTTGGGGTGGGTGTAGAGAGATGGGGGAGGAGGTGGTTGGAGGGAGGGAAGGGGTGGATGCGGAGAGAGGGAGCAAGGGGGGTGGTGGTGCGATGGTTGATGTACCCACATCACACAGCGACCAGTCTCTCACCCTTGCCTCATTGGAGCCAGCTTCTTCTACTCCTTCTGCACCTTGTGCACGGGACCCCCACGGTGCTGCCATGGGTCCTCTGCTGCCCGCCCCCTTGCGCCGCAAGAAGCCCCGGGCGCGCTGAAGCGAGCGCGCATGGCATGCTCAAGGATGGGGCACTAATGCGCCAGCGTTACACTCGCTTCCGTTATTTGTAAATAGGTTCAAGCGGTGGTTGAAATGAAATTGCTGTATTGAGTTCGTTATAAGATTTAGTAATTGTCCTCGCCATAGGCCCGTGCAAAGAAAGAGGCTGATGCTGCCTTTCTCACAGCGTCCCAATTCACTACAACTCGACACATACACTTCACACGCTCGTTCCACTTCAGCGCAATCCAGCAACCACCAGCCACGTGTCGTTTCGTCACCGCGCCACCTCTCCATGTCGAACGCCATGGCCCAACCGCTCGCTCTTTGCCGCCCGTCCCCTTTTTGGGGGGCGCCCTCGTCGCAATCTCCGTCACTGTCGGCGCGCTGTGCGCGCGTGCCACGCGGTGCGGGCGTGAGCCGACTTTCCGCCATGAGGGCGCCTTCAGCGGTGGCCGCGCGGCGGTGCGTAGTCGTCACTGGTACGTCGTAGGGTAGCCGCAGAGAAAACAGCGGCACGCTCCCGTGGATTGCGCTTTCGCGCCAGTAGGTTGCGTGCCCCTGCCTTCATGCATTGCGCATGTGGTGCGGGCGAGCGTGTCTCCTTTCCGGCTGCGTTCTGTGATTGCTAGTTGCCCCGCGTGAGCGCGCTCCTGCGCCGCCCTGCTCAACCAACCATTCCTCTCTGCCCTCCCGCACGCCAGCTTCCGCGGGTGCGGGCGCGGTAGACGCGGGCGCGGAGGCGGTGGAGATTGAGGCGGCGGTGGCGGTGCTGGCGGAGGCGGCGCGCAGCAAGCAGGTGAAGGGCGAGGCGGTGTTTGCGGCTCTGCGGCGGCTGGAGACGCGCAAGGTGGGCGCGGAGGAGAGCAAGGCATGGCTGGCGGCGCTGGGAGGGGCGGCATCGCCTGGACACATGTGGCAGCTGGTGTTCACCGCTGGTAGCGGTGAGGTGAGTGTGCGGGGCGGTGGGTGCGTGCGTGGATGGTGGCGCCATGGTGTGCTGCAACCCCACCAATTCCCACATGCCATGTGCCATATGCCCTCTCTCCCACTCCTCATGCCACGTGCCCCCCCGTGTGCCCCATCTGTCCCCTCTGCTCCGGGAGCAGGTGCGCAAGGCGGCCAAGGGCGGGGAGGGCACAGGGTCATACTTCCCCATCCCTGCCATCCAACGCTTCGATGCGACTGTGAGTTACCCCCACTTTTGAGTCGACTCCCAGAAAAGAGGGCACAGGGTCGTACTTCCCCATCCCCGCCATCCAACGTTTCGATGCCACCATGAGCCCCCCGCCCGCCCGCACTCCTGCTGCTGCCACGCTCGCTCATGCTTTCACTTGTTATTGCTGCGACCCACCATTCCTCCTCGGCACTACCATTGTTCTCATCCGCCTGCCATCACGATCATCGCCTCATTTCATTCCTCCCCCATTAAGCTGCTCCACACACCCCATCTCCCTCCCTCCCCATCACCCCCTTGTCTCCGTGCACCCCACCTATATCCCTCCACCTCTTACCACCCCTCAAACTGCATGTCCCGTCAACCATCCCTGCCACACCATCCCCCTTTCCCCCTTTCCTCTCTTCCCTCTCTCCTCCTCTCCCCTCGTCTCCCCTCCCCTCCCCTCTCCTCCCACTCTCATCTCTCCCCCCTCTCTTCCCCGCGCCTCCCCTCTTCTCCCCTCTCTCTCCCCACCAGGCGATGGAGATAGAGAACGGGGTGTTCCTGGGCCCGGTGGGCTACGTCACCTTTCAGGGAACACCACCACCTTCCCATATTTTCCTCTCTTTTCCCATCCCCTCTCTCCCCCTCCTCTCCTCTCTCTCCCCACCAGGCGATGGAGATAGAGAACGGGGTGTTCCTGGGCCCGGTGGGCTACGTCACCTTTCAGGGAACACCACCACCTTCCCATATTTTCCTCTCTTTTCCCATCCCCTCTCTCCCCCTCCTCTCCTCTCTCTCCCCACCAGGCGATGGAGATAGAGAACGGGGTGTTCCTGGGCCCGGTGGGCTACGTCACCTTTCAGGTAACACCACCACCTTCCCATTTTTTCCTCTCTTTTCCCATCCCCTCTATCCCCCTCCCCTCCTCTCTCTCCCCACCAGGCGATGGAGATAGAGAACGGGGTGTTCCTGGGTCCGGTGGGCTACCTCACCTTTCAGGGCCCCATGGGCTTCACTGCTCGCCGCCTCGCCTTCACCTTCCACACACTCACCCTCAAGCTTGGCCCGCTGCCACCCTTCCAGGTCAGCCTGCCGCCCTTCCAGGTAAATTTGCCGCCCTTCCAGGTCAGCCTGGCAAGTGGGGGAGCGTGTAGCCACACTCATGGCTTTGGGGCCCGCCCTGGTCTCCATCACTCCCTGCGTCCCACAGCCTTGCCGCTGCCTCCTGCACATCTCCCTCTCTCTCTGCTGCCCCCACTTTCTGCTTCCTGCACTCCCTCGTCACTCGCTTGCCTGCTACCCGTGCTTTCGACTCGACTCAAAAGTCATCCCTTGCATGTTCCCAACCCTCCCATTCCCCCACTACACACACGTCACCCCGTGGGCACATGGCAGTGGGGGATAGGCAAGGAGGAGGACAAGGGGAGGGTGCCGGGGGAGGGCAAGGCGGGCAGCAAGGACCCTTTCTTCACCTGGTTCTACGTAGACGATCACATCGCTGCTGCCAGGGGCAGGGGCGGCGGTGCTGCCTTCTGGGTTCGCTACACGGGGCCCTACAAGCAATGACGACACACCTGTGCCACCCCATGCCTGCCCACTTACTTTCAAGATGTCTGAAGGGACCCTTTCAAGCTATGTCGCCGCATATCGCACCCAGCTGTTGCTGTGATGCATTATTTATAGGATGCTAAGTCTGAGTGCGTGCGGCGCTTGCTGTGGATGGCTTGAGATGTGTGCTTATATATTCCACACCCACTGCCTTGTCTGAATGTACATTTTGTAATGAATTCAATATATCTAGTAACCAGACCTTATGGAGGTAGTTTACAGCGAAGTTGATCATATTAAGAATGCGCCGCAATCAGCACCACGAAGCGAAATGCGCTTGTGCGACGTGAGACCAAGACGCGCGATGGCGGTTAGGCCGTGGTAGCACCTCGCTGTCGCAGAAGGCGCAGGGGAATCCCTAGTGGTGCGGAGGAGCACGGACGAGTAGTAGTACTGGGGCTGCATTCCCCTCGTCACGCGTCATAGCCGCCAGTGCCACAACAACGGCCTTCGCGCTGCTCCTCCACGAAGCTGCGTGCACCAGGCGGCGCGGAGCAGGCGGACGGGCCGGACGGAGCGGGCGGGGCGCCATGCGCGCCGTTTTCCAGCGGGTCTCATCCGCCCGCGTCGAGGTGCGCCCGCTGCTGCCACGTCCAGGCTCCCCTCCCGCTCCGCTTCCGCTTTCCTTCCTCTCCAGCGCTTGACCCTCTTCCCCTTCCCCTTTCCCCACGCCCCGTCTTTCCCGCCCTTCCTCTCCTCCACCGTATCCGCCAACCTCCCGCCACCCTGATCCGTCCGTGCGACACCTTCCCCCTCCCCGTGTGCGGCATGCGGGGCGCGCGCAGGTGGAGGGGCGCGTGGTGGCGGAGATCGGCGCGGGGCTGTGCGTGCTGGTGGGGGTGATGGCGGGGGACGGCGAGCAGGACTGCGATTACATGTGAGCGGAGGGGGGGGGGAGGGGGGGGTGATGATTGGAGGGCGAAGGGGGCAATGATTTGTGGGCTGTGAGATGGTAAGGTAGGCGATAATGGAAGGGGTTTGTTTTGCAGGTAGCAGTGATGGGTTGGAACTATGCTGCCTTGATGCAAGTGCATGTGTGGGTGTGCAAGTGGCAGTGGTACATGCCCATGCCCGTGTGCGTGAATTCTTTTTCCAATCATCCCCTCGCCCCAACAATCCGTGGCCCTGCTCGCATGCACTCTTGCACGGCATCTCACACTCATGGCGCGCAGGTGTCGCAAGATACTGAATCTGCGCCTGTGGCCCAATGAGAAGACTGGCAAGGCCTGGGACCAGAGTGTGAGTCAGGGGCGTGGGAGTGAGTGGTATGTGATGTTGTGCACGTGCGTACAGGAGAGGCTGGGGTGGGAGCATGATGCATCTGTGTGTCAGCCATGTCGCAGCACCACTTGCACCCACCCATTCACCTGTGTGTGTATCTTGTGTCTGCCCGCCTCTCTGCGCATGCAGGTGTCGCAACGAGGCTACGAGGTGTTGCTAGGTGCGTCCCCTCCACCTGCCACCCTCCCACCCACCCAACCCGCCCTTACACGTGCGCCGCTTACCTCCGTATGTTTCTCCACACCACCCCCACCACCCCCACCACCCCCACCACCCCCACCGTGCACGCCCACCACCCCCCTGCACAGTGGTGAACATGACTGGTTGCTCTCCGCCCGTTCCGCCTCCCTCACCTGTCTGCGCCACGTCTCTCCGCACCCCTCCTCATGCCCTCCCGCCCGCTCCCCTCACTCCCCCATCACCCTCGCCCCTCACATCGCTCTCCTCTTCTCACTTCCTCTACTGCACGCCTTGCCCGGTGGGGGCGCAGCATTCAGTCGGATCACAGGGTGCAGGCAGCCCAAGGATCTCCGCGCGCTCCCCCCACTGCCCCTCACCCCAATCGCCCATGCCCCCGTGCGCCCATGCCCTCCCCCCTTCGGGTGCGCCAGTGAGTCAGTTCACGCTGTATGTACGGGCAGCCCAAGGGACTCCTCTCGCACTCGCTTCCCCGTCATCCCTCGCCCCTCACCCCTCTCCCCCACCTTGCGCCCATGCCCCCCCAATCATCCGAGGCAGTGAGTCAGTTCACGCTGTAGGGGCAGCGTATGTTTTTGAGAATTCTCAAAAAACATACGGGCAGCCCAAGGGCAACAAGCTGGACATGGCGTGTTAGCATCAGTTTACGCTGTATTGGCAACCCAAGTGTCTCCTCTTGCTTACCCCCCCTTGCCCATGGCAGTGAGTCAGTTCACCCTATACGGCCAGCCCAAGGGTAACAAGATCGACTTCCACGTCGCCATGCCCCCACAGCAGGCCAGCGCCTTCTATGACGCTTTCCTGCACCGCGTGCGCCGCGCCTACCACCCCGACCGTGTCAAAGGTGGGTGCTTCCTCAGTCGAGCTTTGAGTCGACGCAAAAGCCCCCCAGCAGGGCGAGCGCCGTTTACAGTGATCTTGTGCACCGCGTGCGCCGGGCCTACCACCCCGACCGTGTCAAAGGCAAGCTGCTTCAATCCACTCACATATCATATTAGTGCGTGCACCATGCCTTCACCCAACCACCCGCGGTAAGAGTGAGGGAGGTGCGGCATAGCGAGAAGGCTGGGGGGGTGAGTTGCATCCCGCACACACAGACTAGAAGCCGTATCACTTCGTTCCACCCCCCATGATCACGCTTTTTGTGTCGCACTCTTCCTTTCACCCTGCTCTGTCCCGTTCACTCCGCACTCTCCCTTGCAACCAGCGCTCTCAATGCTTTTCGTCTGCACATGCCTGCGTGCTCAACTTTCCCTTGTGTGCGCGCGTGTGTGCCTCTGTCACCCCGTGTCCTCCCTGACCTGTGCGCGCCTCTGCACTGCCCGCCCATCCACCGCAGACGGCATCTTTGGCGCCATGATGGAGGTCAGTGGGTGGTGGTGGGTGGTAGCGGGGGGTGGTGAGGGTGGGGTGGTAGGGGGGGCATAAGGGGGGTGGGTGGGGTAGGAGGGGTGGGGGGATAGGCATGCGTCAGGGATGAGCATAGTGTGGTGTGGCGCAAGGATAGAATGGTGCATTCTCGGTGTGAGGCAGGCCCATTGGTGTGTTGCCATGTCATGGCCTTTTGAATGCGCCAGCCTCTTTGTGGATGCCTCACCACCCCGTTTCCTCCCACCATGCTTGCCGTCCCCCCACCTGTCCTCCCTATGCCCCCCCTCCTCATGTCTCTTTCATTTCGTGCTGGACGTGCAGGTGCACATAGCCAACAGCGGCCCCGTCACTCTCTTCCTCGACTCGCGCAAGCAGTCAAGCGCGGACGGCAATGGGGGCACTGCAAGCAAGGAGAGCAATGCTGTAAATGGGGGCGATGAGGGCAAGGAGGGGGCAATGAGGTGATGCGCACGGCTGGGGGTGAAGGGGAACATGCGGGTACTGTTGCGAGGTGAGGTCTCCCAGCTTCGAGTGGTTCATAGCAGCGGGCCCGTGCTGTGGAGCACCAACACAGGCACACTAAGGGGGGCGGGCGAGTGGGCGGGCGCTTGTCAAGTCTGTAGGCAGGCAGTCCTACAGACCAGGCCTTCCCAAGGAGCGTAGCAGGCTGGTGCGGCCGGTGGAGTGTGGTAGTAGTGGGCCCTGTATTGGCAAAATGGATTGGAAGGCCTCTTGACTCTCGACTCCACAATCACCTTGGGGTCACACGGTCCTTTCAAGGAATGCTTACACTCTGATGTGATTTGTGGTAGGTAGCTGCACGATTTTGCTAAAACTTTCTGCACAGTACAAACAGCCCAGGCCAGGATAGTGAGGACCTTATTAAAATCATTGTAGTATACCATGGCACGGTTGCCCTCATTTGCAGAATAGCACGACACACATGCTTTATTGTCCTTTACTACTGTTGTGAGCACCTGCTGCATGTGGTACACTGCACAGCACGACAGTGCCAGCAGCAGCATCCCACACTCTACCTCTGCTCGCCCCCTCTCACCACCTCCTCTGCCCCTAACCACGGGACATGAGTCGTCTCAGAGTGCCCAACCCCAACCCCCGCTTGCTGCCCCCGCCGCTCCCCACCTCTCCCTGCTGCACGCCCCTCCCCCACCCCTCCCCCTGCGCCTCCCACCCCTCGCGCCTCTCCCCCGTCCCTGCCGCCCCCCACACGCTCCTTCCTCCACCTACCCCACCACCGCCACTGCTGCCGGCACCATCATAACTCCCACCATGACCATAACCACTACTACCCCTGGCGGACACAGCAGCAGTAGCAGTGGGCGCTAGTGGTGCCACTCTGGTGGACCGCCATGAATCACTGAGCGACCGTGGGATGCCCATGCCCATGCCCATGCCCGTGCCAGCTCCTTTCCCTGCCATACCCGCGCCCACCTTGGCCCTGCCCCTGCTTCCACTGCCACTGCGCCACAGCATGCCCATCAACCCCCTTCTCTGCTGCTGTTGCTGCTGCTGCTGCTGCTGGTGGTTCCCTCCCCAACTCCCTCCTCCACTCCCTGCTCCCCCAACCCCTCCCGCGTTCCACCCACCACCACCCTCGCCACCACACCCACCTGCACCATCTCGCCCCCCGCCCTGCACAGTGCTGCTGCTGCCACTGCTCTCCACCTCGCTCCACTCCCTTGCACCGCTCTGCACTGCAGCAGTGCCGCCTGCCAGGGACCAGAAGGAGCCAGCAGGCCGGTCATGGGGGTGCAGAGACCACTCAGGGTGGGGCGGACAGTGCAGGGAGGAGGGTACACACCCACTGCCCGCATCTGACACCTGCTGCTCGCTGCCCGCCCGCTGTTGCTCACTGCCCGCCTGCTGCTGCTCGCTGCTGCTCCCCACGTGTCGCTCCTGTGCCTCGTGCTGCGGCCACCAAGGCTGCGGGGTGGTCTGAAGGTGCTGGGCGGGCGGGTGGCTCGTATGGTGGCGCGGGGGGAGAGTTGGGGGGGGGAGGGCGGGTGGGGGAAGGATGGGCGGGGGGCGCTGCCCCATTGAGTGGGTGTGGGCGCGGGGGATGAGCAGGGGATGAGGGGAGAGCGAGGGGGAGGAGGGGGACGTGGAGGAAGGGGAGGCGGGAAGACAGGGGAAGGAGAAGGAGGAGGCGTCTGGAGGGGAGGTGTGCGAGGGGGAGTGTGTGTGCTGGGATGCAGGGGGGGTGGGTGCATGCCACTCGTGGCTCTTGGAGCATGCAGCAGCAGCAGCAGCAGCAGCAGTACCACGGGGCAACGCAGCAGCAGCACTGTCAGCACTGTGCCGCATCCACTGCGCTCCCACTGGCCCCTCCCCATGTGATGCACGGTCCGCTTGGAACGGCTCCTCTGCGCCCAACGGTGACACCAATGCCAGCCCCCCCTCCACTGCCCGCTCCCGCTCTCGCTCTCGCACTGCCATGTGCGCCTCTTGCTGCCGCCGCCCACCCTGCCCCTCGCCCTGCTCGCTCCCTCGCACCTCCACCTCCTCCTCCCTCTCGACACTCCGCCCACTCTTCCTCTCCCCCGCTGCCACCGCCTCCCTGCCATTCCTCTTCTCACCCTCATCTTTTGTCTCCGCCAACCCTCTTGGGCCCTTTGCACCACTCTCAACCCACTCGTTGTCAAGCACTGGCGCCACCTCCCACACCAGCCCTGCCACCACTTCACTGCCCCCCTCGCCTGCTCCCACGTCCCTACCCTCTCCTCTCACCCCAGCGGTCTCACCTCCCTCCCCCTCATCCTGCTCACACCGCTCTGCACGTCTCCTCACCTCGCCTCCCCCTGCGTGCAACCCCGCAGCAGAGCCATCAGAACGAGAGGCGGCACGGCTGGCGTCGCCACGGCCCTCCTCCCCTCCCTCCCCTCCTCGCCTCACCTCTCCGCCTCTCTTCCTCTCTCCCCCGTTCCTCTGCCCTGCATCCCTTCTCTCTCTCCCGCTCCCATTCCTCACCGCCTCACCTTCACTCCCCACCCGCCGCACTTTCCCTCTCCTCTCCCCATCCCCCTCACCTTTCCCTCGCCCCACCTCTTCCGTTCCTCTCTCCACCTCTCCCCTCTCCTCTTCCCACCCATTCCGCCTCAGAATCGCCCCTGCAGCGCTGTTGCTGCTCCGCGCCTCCCCATTGCGCGCGCCCACGCGCCTCCCCGAGCGCGGCTTGCCCCCCTGCGCGCCGTCCACCACATGCATGCCCGCGGGTCCCCCGCTCTTCCTGCTGTGCGCCGCTGGCGCGGCCACTCGCCGCGCTGGCAGCTGCGGCACCACCACCGCTGCTGCTGCTGCGGCACTTTGCGCTGCTGCTGCTGTTGGTGACACGGGAGGAGGTGCGGGCGGGGCTGCGAGGGCGGAAGGTGGCGGCGGGAGGACCTGAATCCGTTCACTTGTCACCGTCAGGGTGCCCTCCGGCTTCTCTCCCACCCCAACTCCGCCTCCCTCCGCCTCTGCCTGCTGCTGCTGCTGCCTCCCTTGCTCTTCTTCCCCTTGCCTCTGCTGCGTCTCCCCCTCGCGCGCTCGTTCTTCCGCTACTTGTGCCGTCCATCCGCCTCCACCCTCTCCTGTTGCTGCCTCCATTGCACCTCCACTTTGTGTGCCACCTCCGCATTTTCCTGATTCCGCCCTTTCTGCAGACTCCACCCCTCTCTCCTCCCTTCTCTCCTCCCCCACTCCCTGCACCAGCGCACCTGCAATTCGCCGCACTGCCACCAGTTGCCCGTCTCCCCCTCCACTTCCCCCCTCCTCCTCCCCGTCACTTCCCCCCGTTGCGCCAGTCGCCACTACCAGCGCCAGCGCGCGAGTCAACGCCTCCATCCCCCTCCCCCCTTCTCCGCCTTCTCCCCCGCCTACACTTCCCCCAACTCTTTCCCCTTCCCCCCTCCACTGCACGTCGCCATCCAAAGCAAGCATGCTGCCCCTGCCACCCTCCCACACGCCCTCCATTCCCCCGGCTCCCCCGTCCTCCCCCACCTCGCGGATCTGCGCCAGCTGCTCTCCCCCAATGGCCGCGCGCAGTTGGTACGCCGCCCGCCGCCACGCGCCTCTCTCCGCCAGCTGGCGCCGCCTCGTGCGCTCCTTGCTGGCGCGCAGCATGTCCAGCTCAGCGCGCAGCGACGCTGACATGGCGTCCCCCGCGTGGTCGCGCTGCTGCACCTGCCGCCGCAGGCTCCGCGCCTCCGCCTCCGCCACCGCCGCGCGCTGCCGCCACGCCTCCTGCTCCTCGCGCACCCGCTCCACCTCCCCCTCCATGCGCGCCGCCAGAGCCTGGGGGGAAGTGGGGGGATAGGCGGTTTGAGGGGCGAGGTATGGAAAGAGAAGGGGAGAAGCATGACACACACGGGAGCGGGAATGCGGAGAGTGGCAGAGGGCAGAGAGTGAGATAATTCAAGGGAGGTGGCACGGCTAACACGAGCGCATTCCCTGCCCCCAGGCCTACATCCCATTCTCACCTGCAGCACGGCCAGGGTGCCATCACTGCCCGCACTGCCGCCCTCGCCACCCCCGTCGCCCCGCTCCCTCTTCCTCTGCCCACTGCACGCCTCTGTCTCCGCGCCGCCCCTCTCCCCGCCGTCTCCCCCGTCCCCGTGCTCTGCCTCGTGGCCTTCCATGCGCGCTGACACGTCTTTGGTCGTTGCCACGTCAGCAGCGATACGAGCCATGGTGCGCTCAAGATGAGCCATCTGCAGCCGTTGGATTGTGAGGGGGCGACAGGACAAGCGCAGAGCGCGGTGGTGGTCAGGAAGGAGCAGGCGGAAATAGCGCGCAGGCATGGCGAATGAAGTGCACTGCACGGCACGAGTGATAGACACACCGCCCGCATCTCACCTCGCCCGCATCTCACCTCGCCCGCATCTCACCTCGCCCGCATCTCACCTCGCCCGCATCTCACCTCGCCCGCATCTCACCTCGCCCGCGTCGCGCAGTATCTTGCGCTTCAGCAGCCATGTCGCATCGCCGCCACTGCCGTCGCCGCTGCCGCCGGAGCTGCTGGCTCCGCGCGAGACGGAGCTGCTGGCGGCCCACGACAGGTGCGACGACGACGCGCTGCTCGACTCCGCCTCCGACTCCGCGCACTCCGCGCCACTGCTTCCGCCCGCGCCCGCCTTCCCCTGCGCCTCCATGAGACGCATCAGCCCCTCCAGCCGCTCCCGCAGCCGCCGCGCCTCTACTAACGCGCGCCTGCTGCATCCCATGTTGCGCGCGCCCGCGATCTCCCCCTTCATGCCATCCCCGCCAGTGTCACTCAAGTTGCGGCCGCCCGCGCCGCCCCCATCCGCAGCAACAGCGAGAGCGAGCGCAGCAGGCGCACCAGTGGTAACGGCAGTAGCGGGGGCGGGGGAAGGCAGGGCTGCAAGTGAGCCGTGATGAGGCGCAATCAGCGGCGCAGGGAGGGAGGCAGGCACGGTGGCACGGGCGGGCGAGTCAACGCAGTCAATGGAGTCAATGGTGGCCTTGAGTGCAGTCGCCATGCGCGCGGCTCGCCTCATCTCCATCTGGCTCTCGCGCCACTTGCGCTCCACCACCGCGCGCTGCTCCTCCAACTCCCGCCGCGCTGCCGCCATCCGCGCGCCTCCCGCCTTCTTCGCCTCTTTCCTTCCGCCTCTACCTCGCTCCTTACCCACGCCTCCCCCTCCCGTTCCCCAGCCCTCCGAGCCGGAATCGGCAGCCCGATCGTAGCTCGCGCCGGACTTGCCGGCCGCCGACACTCCAATCGAATCGCCTCCACGGCTTCCGGTTTCCACGCTTGCGCCCTCAAAGTAAATATAACTTTCTTCCTCGTCTCGCTCTTCCTCCTCCTCCTCCTCCTCCTCCTCCTCGTCGTCCTCGTCCTCATCTTCATCATCGTCGAGCGACAGGCGCAGGTTGAGCGCCACGTCGTCCGCGAGGGGGTTGAAGAACGCGCTTGACCCGCCGCCGAACAGTCCGCGGCTCGTTGGGTCTGGCGCGTCCCAGCTATCGTCCTCCGATTCCAACTCGGTGACTCGCGTTGACCGCCACCCGCCAGCACCAACCAGCGTTTCTTTTCTCCCCTCCGCCCTACTCTCCGCCTCTCCGTCGTTGTTTCCTGCCCCGCTCGTTGCTTCTCCCTCGTCGTCCCCCTCTGCCTCCCCTTTCCCTCCTCCGTAGCCAGAAATCTCCGCCTTTCCGCGCGACTCCGCCAAGCCTGCTCCGCTCGCCACATGGAACCGCGCTGTCGCATCGGACCGTTCATCGTCCGCTTCCCCCGCGTCGTGCGCCCTGCGCGGGGGCGAGGGCGCCCTGTGCTCCGCGTTCGCCTGCGCGGCGGCGCCCTGCGACGCCCATCGCGAGGCCGCCACGTGCATCATCAGCCGCTCGTTCGCCCGCAGCACGTCCTCGCTCGCCGCGCCTTCTCCCCCCTCGCTCGCCGCGCCTTCTCCCCCCTCGCTCGCCGCGTTCTCGTCGCCGCGGGCGGACGCGCTCTGCTCCGTCGCGTCGTCGCGCGATGCGCTGGGCGTCGGCTGACTGGTGGCCGCGAGGCCCTCGGGCAGCCACGAGCGCACGTCCCAGTGGCTCGGCGTGCTCTGCTCCGCGCGCAGCTGCAAGGAACCTGAGCGGGCGGTGGGAGGTGGTAAGGATTGCGCGGAAGAGGGGGGGGCAGGCCTGGTGTGGCGGAAGAAAGGGCGGGTTGAGGCGGAGGAGGCGAAGGGGGAGGAGGCTGTGGCAGCGGCAGTGGAGGGAGTAGAAGGCGGAGGGTGCGCAATAGCGGCAGGGGAGGGGGCGGCATCAAGGCCAGATCGCTTCTTGCGCAGGTGTCGTATTCGCGAGAGGCTGTCGGTGAGTGCCTTCATCTCCATCTCGTGCCGAGAAATTCCCTCCGACTCCATTGCCGCGCTCGTGCACGCGCCGAGCGGCGTCTAAAGGCAAATGCTACAAGTCGCTCTCTTGTTGCACTCAGATGGAAGAGGTTGATTGCTGTCGTAGTCACACTGTTGGTGTCAGCGTGAGCTCACGTCAACATCGCAACTCGAGTTACGAAAGAGCTGAACTGCTTCTAGTCCTTGTGTGCCACCAATTTCCTATGCTCACCGTCCTATTCTTTCCGCATAACCTTGGGTTTCTCCAACCTTGATTGCTTTGTCCACTTTTTCAGGAGCGCCAACATGGCTGCCTTGCCTTCACTTGACGCATTTGGCACCTCCTCTCACATCCATTGCATTGCGTGATAGCAATTGCGCATTTCGCCCCTCTCATCTTAGCCCCCGCGAGCGCGACTTGTTCCTGGCATTAAGATCGCGCCCCGGCATGTGCGGGAGCACGAATCCTGTGCCTCGCGCGCATCGCGTGGGTCAAAAGTTTTGTTCCTGCCACGCACGAATCGATATTTCGTGGGTGGGCAGACAAGAAATTGTATTTCTAGCTCAAAATGACCCTCGGGCTGGGTCAATGGTGAGAGGGGGGAATTTCCTCCCGCCTGAGATTGTTTACCAGCTTTATGAGTAACTCAACTGCACATTAGAAGATAAAACGAACAACTTCATACCAAGGCTAATATATAGAGCGCATTTTTACCCCAACCTATTCTCCTTGTTAAATTCATAGACTTTCCAGAATGACTACACATCATTTGTATTGAAGCAGTTTTGTCTGTTATTGTCAGGAATTTTCTCGCTATTCCTTACCGCGACCGTCCGCATCGCGTACAACAGCAGCCGTTGTTCGCCCGTTACTGCTAACGGGGCTTCGCCAACTTCGCGCGCACTGTTTCACCAAACCTGGAGCAGCCGAGTCGGCCTACGCTTCGGGACTAGCCCGAACCTCGCGCCAGCGTAGCACTAGCTAGCTCGCACGCACCGCGTTACCGTTGGCACATTTTCGCGTATAAGTATTCGCTCATGTCTTCGCTCATATTTGATACTCATTGAACACTCTAGTGCAATCCTCACTACCTCGATTCATTGCATCCGTAACACTTGGTTATCAGAGCTACTTTCTTTCGGACCGTGCATCTCCGCACCCCAGGAAATCAACTTTTGATTTTTCACTCTAAGGGACTCACGCCCCTTAGCACCTAGGAGCCGCAGTCTTCGCGTTCTCTCGTAAACGCGTGCAGCCACGACTGCGCCTAGACTAAGCTGAGCCGACGCCCTTCGTTATGGCTGAACATATCGACATCACGACGCTCACGCATGACCGTTTGAACGAGCTACTGCGACAACTCCGCGAAAGCTCTGAAGAAATCGCGGCACTGACGGCCGAACGCACGTCCTTGCAAAATGACGTCGCACGAGCACAGCAAGCACAATCACAAGCACCTGGCACTCTGGGACAACCTGCACCACTGGCATCACAGCACGGAAGTTTGGGGCAACCCTCGAGCGCGGCCAGTGATGGCGTCGTCCGCCACGACGGAGACGACGACCACGGCACGACACACCCCGAAGCGACGAATGCAGCCAGGAGCCAGCCTCGCGTCACAATTTCGGCACCGACCAATGATTCGGCACTGCCGTCACCGATGCCGCTGAAGCTGCAGCGTCCGCCATGCTTTGACACGCGTCAACGGGGTGGTCCTACCGTTCAGGCGTGGTTGTTCACGTTGAACGTATTTTTTTACGCCAACTACGTTTCGGAGGATACGGCGAAGATTCGCTGCGCCGTGTCGCTGCTGCGAGGACCCGCCATGGACTGGTGGCGCGTCATCGTCACGAAGCCGATGGACTACGCGAGTCTACCGACACGGGAAGGACAAACCGGACCCTGGCACCGTCGTATTTCGTAGAGGTGCCCCAGTATCGCACGTGGGACGTGTGGTGCGCAGGTCTGCTCGCTCGATTTGAGCCAATTGCGGCTTCGATCGCAGCGCGTCAGAAGCTCCGCACTTGGCGCCAACTCGGTTCCGTCCAAGACTACACTAGCGGGTTCCTGGCGCTGTGTGAGCAAGTGGGATACATGCACGAAAGCGAGCGCATCGACCGCTACATCGGCGGCCTGAAGCATGATATCGCCCAAGAAATTCAGCTCCACGGCGTCACTGACTTCCAGGAAATTCTCGCCATGGCGGAGAAGTTCGACCGAGGCCGGGGTCCTACGGAAGCAACAACAACTGGGGACATCGATCTCGTGGGACGAACGAGGGCGCCACGATACGTGCCGTCGCCGCGAATGCCGCTGCCGCACCGTTCAATGGGCGCTGCTTCGCGTGCAATCGGCTAGGACACCGCAAAAGCGAATGCCCGGAAAACGCTAAGGGAAAGGGGGAAGCTGAGCAGCAGAAACAGACCAAGCAGCAGGGAAACACTGGGAGTCAGTAGCAGACGGGCCCTCTACTGACAGGTCACGCCGCTCGCCCGACCCAACCGACCCTTACCGAGTGATTGTGCCGGTTCACGCAATCGCCCACACCCGGCCGAATAAGGAGGGTATTACAGTAGACAGCCCCATACTGCTTAGCGGGAAAATTGGGACAGACTTAGTTAAAATATTCGTAGACGGAGGAGCCAGCCACAGCCTGATCAACACCGCCATGGCACGAAAACTGAGACTGCCACAGGACAGATGTTTACCTGAGATTGACGCAAGACTGGTTGACGGCACGCCACTGGCGATACGGGAACGCGTAGACCGGGTTCGGATTCGATGCGAGGGTAGCTTCACGTTTAGCCAGGAAATGCTCGCGACAACCCTCGACGGAACCGACATTTTACTCGGCCGTGATTGGCTGTGACGACACAATCCGCGAATCGACTGGACAACGAGTGAATGCACCGTGCGAGTGAACGGTAACAACATCGCCTTACCTCGCTGGGGCTCGCCGGGGTCTTGGTCGGTGCGTATCAACGCAATCACGATGAAACGCGCCGTAGCGGCAGGAGCTGACGTGTACGCGGTCGACATTCGGGAAGCCGAGGCAGCAGACAAAAGGGGGGATTTACAAAAACTGCTAGCAGACGTACCGGATGACTTGGCAGCACTACTGAAGCAGTACAGTGGGATTTTTCCGGATGACCTGCCGACAGGACTGCCACCTCAGCAGTCGCACGGCCACAGGATAGAGCTAGAACCGAGGGCACAGCCGATAGTACTACGACAGTTCCAATTGACCCAACCCGAACTGGACGAACTGAGGAAGCAGCTAGACTACCTGCTCGAGAAGGAGTTCATTCGCCCAAGTTCGTCACCCTTCGCAGCGCCGATACTGTTCACACCGAAAAAGGACGGGGTTTTTCGCATGTGCATTGATTACCGCGCACTGAACAGGGTTACCATCAAATCCCGTTACCCCATCCCACGAGCCGAGAAACTGTTTGACCAACTGCGCACAACCCAGGTTTTCTCGAAAATTGACCTTCGAGGAGGCTACCACCAGATCCGAGTCAACCCACCCGACTGCCCGAAAACAACTTTTCGAACACGCTACGGATCCTTCGAATACACCGTCATGCCTTTCGGACTGACCAACGCCCCCGCAACTTTTCAAATGACCATGAACGAAGCCTTCCACCCGCTTTTAGATAAGTGCGTCATCGTGTACCTCGACGACATACTGATTTACAGCCCAGACACAGCACAGCACCTACAGGACATTGAAGCAGTTTTTAAAATATTGAGTGAGAGCCGCCTACTGACGAAAGCATCTAAGCGTGAGTTTTTACAGGACAGACTGGAGTTTTTGGGACACATTATTTCAGCTGAAGGAGTGGAAATAGACGCGAAGAAGATCGCGACGGTTCAAGCGTGGCACGCGCCGACGAACTTGACAGAGTTGCAGAGCCTTTTGGGGTTCGTCAACTACGTGCGCCGGTTCGTCCCCGACATGGCGAAGTTGACTGCTCCGTTGACCGACCTGCTGAGGAAGGGGGTTGAATACACATGGGGGGAGAAAGAGCAAGCTGCCTTCACGGCCCTCAAACAAATTTTGTGCACGCCGGCCGTGCTTTACTTCGCAGATCCGCACCATCCGTTTGAGCTCGTCACCGACGCAAGTGACATCGCCGTGGGAGCTGTACTGTTGCAGGACTTCGGGAATGGCCTCCAGCCAATCGCATACGAGTCCCGCAAGCTGCACCCGCCCGAACGCAACTACCCGATACACGACCGCGAAATGCTGGCGATCGTGCACGCGTGTGAGAAATGTACGAGAAATGAGGAGCCATAGCTAGGGTTTAGCTAGCTAGGCAAGAGAAAATAGGCAAAGGAGAATATGCACTAGCAAGCAGGTGGATACATATAGGAAACCCTAAGGGGCCGTACTCACTATAGAGTACCCCACTGCAGGCTAGACAAACTACACATTCTGACACACCCCCATAGTCAAAGTGGGGTATGATAAGCACAACAAGCAGCAGTTTATAGTTCACAAATATAAGCAAAGCTAGAAGCTATCACAGAGGGCAAGTGTGGAGGAGGAGGGACTATGAGAGGAGAGGAGGTAGTGAGCTGAAGCTGCTGGCACATGGCACAACTGGAGCAACTGGCACACGGGCAACTGGAGCAACTGGCACACTGGCAACTGGAGCAACTGGCACACGGGCAAGTGGAGTAACTGGCTCCGCGGCTAGACGAGCGGCAGGAGCAACTGACTCTCGGGCGACTGGAGCAACGGGCTCACGGGCAACTGGAGCGACGGGCTCACGGGCGACTGGCGCAACGGTCTCACGGGCGACTGGAGCTGCTGGCTTCACGGCGGCCACCCCCCTTCAACCTCCCCCTTTGTCCCAAAACTCCCGTTCACACCCCCTGCTGCACCCCTAGCTTCACTCCCACGACACCCCCCTAGCACCACTCCTTCGGCTCCCACACACCCACCCCCCTCAGCGGCAGCTGCAGCAGTGGGAGACGGAGGAGGAGGAGGAGGGGATGGTTCACACACCCGCCACCCCCATAC